CGAAATCTTATGAAATAAATCCCCTTTGATGTGTTCGATTTTAGTAGCCGTTTCGCAATCATAAGCCAGTGATAGATGTTGATTTTTATTGATACATTTGATTTTCCAGGGTACCCAAATGGACGATGTCGCCAAGTTAAGTTCATGTAACGAATGAGGTCTATCGATGTTGTTGTCGGCATGCGCACCTCCACTCAGTCTCGACGATGACTTCGGTCTCGGATGGGATTGCTTTGATCGGAAAAACGACGTGAAAAGTGGTGGGTCTCTTGGTCGATCAAGAAGGCCATTAAAAAAGCACATTCATAGCAATAAAAATACTTAGTAAAAATATAATGAAGATAGAGGCTCGAGAGCTGCCCTGAAGCAACTCAAAGTGCTACAACCCCAGTCAAGGCACTTCTCTCACCTGCTCAGACCTGAAAACTCTCGTGAAGCTGGAGAATTCAAAATTTACACAAGTATTTCCATGTGTTAGGCAAGGTGACCTGTACAAGCTTCACTCAGTACCATTTGGTGCCCCCACCAAGCCGAGCCGCCCCCATTCCAAATAATGTAACAATCTCTACATTGCTTTCCATATCTCGAATCCTTATACAGGAAGGAAAAGCTTCATTAACTGGGCATACCATCACGTTAAATACGATCCTCTTATGCTCCATAGACCTAATACGACCCCTCTTGTTCTACTTTACACAAAGGTTGATGAGCCATGTTTACAAATTTCCATGGGGCCACCGTCATGACATTACACAGGTGCAGTGAGAGCGATACAGCGCGTTTTCATAAAAACCCATCAAAAAAAAACCCCCCGAGAGATAGTGATGTGAGAGGGTTAAGCAGCGACGCATGGAATTCTCTCATTACATTCACCCATCGTATAGTGCGCTCAACCTTCGAGTGAAGAGAGTGTTTGGGAAACAAAACTGATCTTCAAATAAATGCAATATAGTCTGTGAAGAAAAAATTACTATCGTAATCTTGCTGGGAGGCGCCATGCAATCGGATTTCGTCGGGGCTCAAAGATTTGTTTGAATGCACAGTTTACCTAAAAAAATCTGGCCTTTTTATGATTATTGTGACCTCACGCGGCGAATTACTGTACCTTGCCCGTCGCTCGGCTTACTCACACCTCGTCGCCCTTCACTTCAAGAACTTTATCCATGTGTTTCTTGCACATTTCACGCCTTATCAGCCTTCTGCTTTACACATGATTTCACATTTGTGGGCTCTCAGCCGATTCACCTGTACCACCTGTGCTCCCGTTGATCATCGAGTTCCTCGAGCGGGCGCCAGTAACGTCTCCATTCGTCCCTGCAACGTGCAAGAGTTGCCCAATGGACTCTCTCTGCTCGAGGGACACGATGAACTTCATACCATTCGTTCAGAGCTTTCACCCACTCAGCCGATTATGTTCCACAACGCAGTTGTTTCACGGAAAATAGCAAAGTACATGGCTTATGTGGTAGGTCGAATTTATAAAAAAAGAAATTCATATCTGACTCCAACATCCGAAATCACAGCCTGCACAGTTGTCGGCCCTATGCAACGCCTAACTGGCAGTGCTGCTGATATAAATAATAAACTGGATACGCCATGGCAATCGAACTTTCGTCTGATCTCGGACGCGCTTGGATTTTGTCTCTCATCTCACATGCGTCGGCTACGCCAGCCATGTCCCTATTTCTCAGGGTAAAGAATATGTAGTGCTGCCTCTTGGTCCCTGCAGCTGCTAAGCATTCTACCCTTCAGAACAACTGTACATTTGCGATTGGCGAATTTGGGGAGGCTATATCTTTTTGGCCTATTTCTTACCCCGTTGAAATGAGCAAAAGCTCTCATAGTTCCTAGAAGGGGAGGGGCTTACAGAAGGCTCCTTATGCGAAACTGGGTTTGTCTCAGAAGGAACAGGATTACTGTGCTTGACATCGGTTTACTTGCAGGAAATTCCCTTTTCCTATAGGCATAAGCAAAGGCCATCGGCGGTATTTGTTCCATCCCTACCTTTGCCCAGAGGGTCCTATGAGTGACCCGCTACCTCCATTTGGGCGTTGTTAGCTCCCAAATGTGTTCACTTTTGGCTGTCTCCATGGGTCTTTTCCACGGTTGGCAGAATTGGTAGAATGGGATGAAAATGAGTCCGCAATAAAACGGGCTGCACAATCTGATGCTCGTTGCCCTCCTGCCCCCCCCCCCTTGTTCTCATTCAGTAAAAGAGATGGAGGTCCTGGGTCTGGGTGTCTCTACCCGTTTCTCCGCTCAGCCGGTTGTCGTGTAGTGTGCTTTTCAGGTAATAGTGCAGTTTTTGCCTCAAAGGTAACAAAGAGCAGTTCGCCTTGCAGTAATTCTCAGCGAAAGCCATGTCCTTTATAACTCCCTAATCGAATGTCTGTATCGTTCAGATTCCCTGGATGGATTTGATTCGCTAGCGAATTCACCCCTGTCACATCTCGGAATGGACTCTGAATCTTCTTCTCCTTCATCTTTCAGCTGTAGTCTGTCTCCCCTGGATTTGGACTGCGGTTGGTTATGGTCACCTTTTCTATTTATTTCTCGAATCACTATTTCATGGGAATATTGTTATCAATTGACTGTTACAGATACTTCCCTTCCGTCGTTTTCCTATGACGAATCATCCTCACCTCTGCTTGGTATGCCGGATCCGATCGTACCTGCCATGACTATGGATGAATCGTTTGCTGTTGCAGCAGTGCCTCGGAGATCCATCATGGGTAACTTTCATCCTAGCAAAATTATATTTGGTTTGAGGGCAGAGGGGAGGGGCACAGTTCGGCGACGGGGGCATTTTGCACTTTTGCTACTTCCCATCGACGTGTCGACCTATCTAGACAGCCTCTTCTCGAGTTGACAGGTTTTACCATGATGGCTTGACGACCTTGCTCCAGCTTCACAAGAGTTCACAGGTTTCACCAGAGTGAGACTTGTAAACCGGAACTAGGGAAGCAATGAAAGTACAAAATGCCCCCTTCGCCGAACTGCTCTGAGGGGAGGTGTTACCACGCGGCGACGCCATATCACGTCATGCCTTGTTTATGCTGTCTTGCCACCAGTCTTCGAAGCCCTATAAATGGTGTATACCCCACGCTCCTGTTCGCTGAGAGGGCGCAGACGAATAGAAATGACGTGGCACAGTGGCGATACGGCGTGGCACTCCTGCCCCCAAGTACCTATTACGCAATTTTCTTCATGTTCCCTTTCCAAAGACAACCCCAATGAGTGTGCCAGGAAATCCAAGTTGCGGCGGCATGGCGAAAGTGACGTTACATATGGTGTTAAGGCCCTATTCGTACCACTAACTAGTAGATTTTATGTAAAGTTGCTGCACTTACATTACATTACAGTTGCATTAGAGACTGGAGTTCTGTCCCCCCCCCAACACTGTAACTCGGATTTCCTGACCTGTCCTGAACGTGTCTGAACAGAACCATCTTTCAGTTCGGAAACGCATGCATGAATGCTCGATGGTGTGCTGGCTTTTCCGTACCCTGCTCACTTCGGAATATCGCGCTCTACCACTGAATGCGATCTTCGAGATCTTTGAGGCTACTGTAAGTGACTTTGATGAAGCAGCATTCATGATTTGCGTCGCCGACGATCGCTTAGGCTCTTAGCCACAGAATCAATATCTACGCAATCAGCGGCGATCACGCGATCTTCGATGTCGCGAACTATGAACGTTGTCTGACTGCTTACACTCAGATTTATTACACTGTATTTTACAGAATCCATCGTCCGCACATGGCCGCCATTGGCGCCAGTCGATTCGGCACTGTCTAATGTCGTCTGCGGTATTTGTGCGCGTCCTTACTCCAAATGTATGTTTGAACCTTATCTGAAAACTTCATATACAGGCTTGTTCGTTGCGGATGCTAGGGCGGGTCTGGAGTTGAACTAAGCGCGCCGCAAGGCCGTTTTCCACCAATTGTGGTCGCCTGCTGGATTCCACAAAGCGGGAAACTAGCCGGCGGAGCGCTGAACCCCGCCCTCCCCCTGGAATGCCCCCAGCTTCCGCAGCGAACAAGCTTGTATACTTATATTTTCCAGCTTTCCATTATTATTTTTATTTGTATCTGTGTTTGGATTGTTCCACAGATATATCATTCACAACCTCAGAAAAAGTATTTCTATATTTGTGCCACTTTTCCTTTCCTTTCTTCGTGTTTGCTGTTTTTTCTTTCTTCTTCACCCGTGAAAGAGCTTTCGTAGACCGATCTTTCGAGTTACGCCATGCGTTGGTAATCCTTTCATAATAATTTCGAAGTGAAATAATAGGAAAACTGAGTCCCTTGAAAAAGGTAACCGATTAATAAAGATTGCAAGATTCGGCCGCTACTCTAACCAAAGTTGCCCTCTTCATATGCAATTCTATTGTAATTTGACCCTTCATATGAAAGAAGAGATGGATTGACCCAAGCGGTAATCGATCCACTCATCGATCAGGTGACAGCGGCGCTTTCTGTCACTTAGTTCATCATCGCCGCCTATTTTTTTGTTTCGTCGTTAGATGAATAGCGCGTGGGCGAAGCAAGGCCAAGTTTTGTTCAAACTTCTGACGCGGCTGTGTCCTTGTCTCATATCAGCAGAGCCTAATCACCGAACAAGCCTGACGGGTCCAGAATCGAGATAAGCAATGATTTTGAACTTGCTAAGGTTGTCGACACGTTTAAGCGGTTCTTACAGCTATAACATGGCAGCAAGCTAAGGCAAAGGTGTTTGTCCCTTCAGGGTGATATTGTACCAAATGTTCACCTCATCCGGAGAAGCGAACGTGACAACCTTGGCAGTATTCGGTCTACTCATCGTGATAGCGGTAGCGGCGCCTATTGCCACTGAGCTTCCGGGCCACTGAAAATTTCGCTGGTGTTTTCGTCACCAGCGTAGAAAGATCAACATATTTAGTCAGCTGCACTCCCGGTTTCTTTAAAGTGAAATCAGGCTGCATTTTACATTATATATCCACATTCCTTCCACATTCTCGCGCCACTCTTGTTTGGATTGGAGGGGACGCACGGTGGTGATGAGTCTCCGCCCATCTGGCTGTCGCGGACTGTGCTCGTAGCAGATATTCTCAAGAATTCTTGCAATATGCATTATTATCACCTTGAAGCACTTATCTAAAAGCAAGCACCATGAGGGCCGGTACATTCGACAGTTTTTTTCTGGCGCTGATTTCAGTATGTCGACGAAACGAAGGAAAACAGGTGTTGGTAACGGATTACGGTTTTCCCATTAATTGTTTGCACTTTTCTTGAGTACTGAAAAGTGTAGAGAATGAGATCGGCTTCATTGCTGATTCCAACATAGATTGAAGATCTCATGTTCAGTGTTTTTGTCAGTGGGGGAGGGAGGAAGGGGGCGCTGGACGTCAAGGAATCCTTAGTGAGAAATGAGAGTCATATCTTCCCGTCAGGAGGTCATAGTAAGGTACGTGGCTAATGCCGTTTGGACTCCAGCAACTTCGGCACCGAGCTCATTTTTAAATTGCCTAAGTTACCAAATCCGCTAAAAACTTGTATGTAGGGGTAGTTTAACATCCTGATTACGAATATGACATTCACTCTTGCCGCTGGCGCTAATGGATGACACTACGATTACCTGCGCTCCGCTAAGGCTGAGCCCAAGAGGTAATCGTAGTGTCATCCCTTGGCGCCAGCGCCAAGAATGAGTGTCATAATTGTAATCAGGATGGTAAATAACCCTTGTGTACATATTTTCAGCGGGTTTGGCGACTTAGGTAATTTAAAAATGAGCTCGGTGCCGAAGTTGCTGGAGTCCAAACGGCATTAGCCGGGGTACGTTCTCACAGCGTCATAACATTCTCTGGCAGTGCATGTTGTGCCGTTGAGGAAACGTTTGCCAAGTTACGACTGTCCTTTGAATTTCCTCTTCTGGTATGACCTCCCCCCCCCTTACTCATCCAAATCACCATCTTTTAAGCATCGCGGAGGGTTTAGAAAAAAACAAAGCCAAAAGTGATTATCACCTTGATGCTACACCGCCACCGTTGGGTGGACACCGATGTGCGAGTCCTGGACGAAATACCTCATCGGCACAAGCTGTTTCGCAGTCTGGATGTACTGTCCACCATGATCCGGCCTCATTCATCACCAAAAAGTCCTTCCGAGGCTGTAAATAGTCCAAAAGTAAAGAAAAACAGTTCCATAAAGAAAATTTCCATCAAG